CCGGCGCCGCCCCTCCGCAGGACAGCGCTGGAGGGCGGGACCTGAGCGCGCGGGGGCGGGAGCGAGTTCGGCCCACAAAGCTGGGTGGGAGATAAAGAACCCGGCACGGCCCCCTCCCCCTAAACAAAGGCTCTCCCCCCGCCCCGGAGCTCCCTAACCTGGAAAACCCAAGCACAATCAAAGCTGCCTGCCTTGCCGCTCCACAGTTTCCAGACTCCCGTCCGGTCCTGCACTCACAGGCCAAGGCCGTCTCAGCCGCAGATCTCCCCCGACAGTGCTCTCCCTCTCCGGACCCGGGTAGCTCCATAGACAGCTGCTCATGCGCACTGCCAGCCCGGGGCCATGTTGGTGAGGGGCGGAAGTGTTCCTCTCCGCCCGCCCCGCCCACTCCTAGCTCTGGGCTGCCCCACTTCCGTTCGCTCCATTTTGATGAGGCTGCCGGGTGCGGAGAGTGTGGGCTCGCCTTAGGCCTGAAAAGAAGCACTATTCTGGGAAATGTCGCTGAAGTCCGATAGTTTCGACAAGAACGAGAGAAAGAGGGCTAAACTGTATTGCCATCTTTGTGCCGGGCAAGACCTTTTAATCCCGAAAAAAGAGGGTGGTCCGCGGAGACCAAGGGAGGGCTGTCGGGCCAAGACGCCATCTTTAGCAAGGGCCATCTGGGAGGCCATCTTGGATCAGGGCGTCTTTTTGAAGGGTGTGGGCAATTGGGGCCCTTGGGGCATACCGGGTTCTAGGCTTACTCCTTCCTACAAGCGTCAGCAGCAACGCACCCAGGGACCCCAAGGCTTCCCGTTTTCCTAAGGCTCACGCTTTCTGTTAAGGGAATCCTGGTACCCATTCATTTCGGTCAGAACCTACCCGTAAGGAATTTGGAGTAGTGTGGAATGGGGAGAATTCTGACTTGGGTCAGACAAACCCGTGCTTCGAACCCGCGCCTGCCATTCTTACGTCTGAGATCTTTGGCAAACATTTTGACTTAATTGAACTTTAGTGTGCACATCTGTAAAAATGGAGATGCCAGTGTTAACCTTACACAATTGTTAGGAGGAGTCAATAAAATCAGCAGCCTAGATTCTGTGTCCACAGAATACCTTGCCCAGTTCCTGGCAGTAACTAGCTTTATGTAAATGTAAGTTTCTCTTCCCCATTTCCTGACCACTGTGAACTCAGCTCTAGTTTCTAACCACTAGTCTCCATGACAACTGAGGAAGAGCACCCAAATAACAAGAAAAAAAGACATGGTTTGGCCAAATCTATGAAAATGTAATGTGTCACTCAAAACTTTAATAATAATGAGACTAAACACTATTTACATGTAAAAATACAACTTTTATTCAGATACATTGATCCTTACTAGGATGGGACTTGTGGCCCCAGCCTGTGTGGAGAAGCAGTCCCTGGGCCTGAGTGAGGCCTTTCCTCTTTCCTGAAATAGGAGGAAGTGATTCCAAAGGAAAAAGAAGAGGCCAGAGAGATCCTGCAGGACCTCTCTTCTGCAAGGTGGCTGGAAGGCGAGGATTGGGGGACTGAAGTGAGAGTCAGTCCCTCTCACAAACACTGAGAGCTTCGAAGAGTTTCCTCCTACTCTGGTGCTGGGAGGTTCAGGAGGCATCCAAGGGTCCAGGAGCAGAACAGGGACGAGCTAATCAGAAGTGTTTGTATATGAAAGGCTCTGAGCTGGCCTGTCCCATCCTCTACCATGGACTTCCATGAAGAAAAGTTCACAACATCAAAGGGGGCGGGAAGTTGGCTGGAATTCTTCCTCTGTTCCTCGCTTTGAGAAACCTCTACTATTCTGCCTACCCTGTGGTCTCTTGGTGATTTTCTTGGTACTGTCTCAAGAGATAAGTGCTTTGTGTCTGAGACAAGCTGAGGTAAACCAACCAAGACAGGGCTTTCCAGAGTTTGGCTGCCAGGTCAAAGCCTAGAGTAGGAGCTATGTCTGCTCAGGGACCTGCAGAGTCAAGACTACTTACTGGTCCCCTTTGCCCAGTGCTCCGGTTCTAATCATAGCCCCTCACCTTGCCCAGGATTAGCCTGTATTTCAAATGCATATGATCTGCGCTGGGGAGATACTAGGGGGTGAGGGGGTTGCAGTTCTCTGGGGGGTAGACTAAGCCGGCTCCGGGTTCCAGACCCTTCTGAGCCATCAGGTGGGAGCTCCAGGCAGCTAAGGGGCCGAGAAGAATGGGCAGGGATCATGCTACAGGGAGGGGTTCTGGGGATGAGGCTGTAGTCCCCACCCCCAGTGCAGGTCTGTGTCCGCCGCACTGTCTGAGCCTCAGTTCTCTGGCGTTCCCGGGCCAGGGCGACAGCAGCATCAAAGGAAAGACTGCCCCCATTCCTCCAAGAGGACCGGGAAGCTCGGGACCCCCAAGCCCTTTCCCCAGGAGTCCCATCGAGTCGGCCAGGTCTCGGACATGGGTTTGCAGGTGCCACATGGATCTTGCTACACATTGCATTGGGCATCTTGGCAAACTGTGGTTTAGGGGGCACAACGGGCACAGAGCGCACCTGCTGGACCTGAACCAGGGTGGAAGCCAGGCGCATGCCCACACCACCAGCTGAGCCAAGGGCACAGGGGCACAGATCACAGCCCTCTGGATAGGGCTGTGCTTCAGGCTCTGGCTCCTCTGGCTGAGGTGACTGTGGGGCTGCCTGTTCCAACCTGGAAGACTGGGCTTTGCCCTCTTGGGCACTGTCAATCTCCAAGGACTCTAGGTCTGCCTCTGCAGAGAGAGTGCTGTCGTCCAAACAGGCACCTCCAGACTTCCGGTCTCCCTCAGCCTCTCCATCTCCACTCTCCCGTTCCTTGCTCACCTCCCCTGCTCCTTTTCCAACCACTTCTTCTAGAGGTCTGCTGTCTTCACCATCTCCTCGGTCTCCTCTTGCCTTACAGTCTCCGTCCCCCCTCTGTTCTTTGTCCTCGCCCTCTCTGCCTCCCTCAGCCTCTGGTTTGTTTACAACTTCCCAGCTTCCCTCAGCATCTTGGTGCTCCTGGGCTCCGTGCTCTCGGTCCCTTCCAGCATCTGCCTGTGCCACTTCTCGCTCAGCCTGCTCTTCTCTCTCAATCTCTTTTTCCTTCTCTTGGCTTTTATCCTGCCCTCCTGGTTCCTCCACACCCTGAGCCTCTTTCATACTTTCAGCTTCCTGACCTTCAGACTTCTGTCCCTTGGTCTCTGTCTCTCCACTACCCTCTCTCAAACTGACTATTGTCTCTTGGCTTCCCTCCACCATCCCGTCTTCCTCACTGGCCTTTCCACTCTCCACCTCACTCTCTGGCCTCCCTTCAGCCTCTTCCCTGATCTGTTTGCTCTCAGGCTCAGACTCCTTGTCCTCTCCATCTTCCCAGCACACCTGCTCTTCCTCAGCCTGTCCTGGAGCCTGTCTTCCACACTCCCCTGCCTCCTCCTTCAGACTCTCTGCACCCTCCCAGGTCTGGGGTTTAGGTCCCAGAAGGGGACTTAGGTCATCATAGGCACTCAGGAAGACTTCCTCCCCGTTCTCCTCCTCCACTTCAGGCCTGGGGCCAGCAGAGTCCAGGGAACAGCAGCTGGGAGCCAGGACAAACTGCGCCTCGTCCAGAGACAGGTCATCCAGAGGCGGCTCCACAGAGAACTCCTCCACCTGCAGGTAGCATCGTGGTTCAGAACTGGGTGGCCCTGTCCACCACCTGGACTCCACTCCACCCCCAAACCCAGCATGGCTCCTCCTTACCTGAGGCCCAACTCCCAGGAGCTCCTCCAGGTAGCCCATCCCAGGGTCGTCCTCCCCAGGGGAGAAGGCTGCTCCTGCTGCTCCTGCCTGGGCCACCTCCCCATCCTCCGCCCCCACCCACTCGGGCTCTGAGCTGCTTGAGTCCTCTAGGAAGGAGAAGGAATCCTGCACCTCCTGGGACAGGCAGTCCTCCAGGGCAAGGGCCGTGTCCGCTGAACCCGAGTCAGGCAGGGGACC